CCTGTGGTCTTCTGGCACGAGGACACTTTGGACATTTGAAAGATAGAAAGGAGGCCAGTGTGGCAGGGTTTCAGGGAGCAAATAGTTGACCAGGGGCAGGTGACCCCATGTGCAGAACTTTGTGGGTGTGTCTAGGATTTTTACCCCTAATTTGAAAGCAAAGGGAGGTCACTGCAGAGATTTCAGCACATAGGACATACTCCGATCACATTTTCCAGATATCCCTGGCTGCAGAGTGGAGAATGGCAGGGAGCAGAGCCCCATGGAAGCCGTTAGGGGGCCAGTATCTCCCCCACTCCCTGGATGTGTGGTAAGGATTGCCTGCAGATGAAAATGCAGGTACTCAGGACCCGCCCCAGACCTGAGGGATCACAGTGGGGTTGGGCTGGTGACCTTTGTCATCAAGCAAGGTTGGGAAATACTGCTACGGGCTATGTAAAAATGAAGAGAGGCTAACTCTACTTTAAAAGCAATTTTTAAAAAGTAAGTTCCTGAAGGCCAGCCCTGGTGGTCTAGTGCTTAAGATTCGGCGCTTTCCCCACCGTGATCTGGGTTCGTTTCCTCGTCAGGGAACCACACCACCCACATGCAGGTTGTCGTACTGTGGCGGCTGCACGTTGCTGGGATGCTGAAAGCTATGTCATCAGTATTTCAAATACCAGCAGGGTTACCCATAGTGGACAGGTTTCAGTGGAGCTTCCAGACTAAGACAGACTAGGAAGAAGGATCTGGCCACCCACTTCTGAAAAAATTGGCCGTGAGCGGTGGTGCAAGCGGTTAAGTGCGTGCGCTCCACTGCCATGGCCCGGGGTTTGCCGGTTCGGATCCTGGGCACGCACCGATGCACCGCTTGGCAAGCCGTGCTGTGGCGGCGTCCCATATAATGTAGAGGAAGATGGGCATGGATGTTAGCCCAGGGCTAATCTTCCTCAGCAAAAAGAAGAGGATTGGCATCGGATGTTAGCTCAGGGCTGATCTTCCTCACATACACACACAAAATATTGGCCGTGAAAACCCTATGAGTAGCAGCAGCAGAGCATTGTCTGATAGACCACCGGAAGGTGAGAGGATGGTGCAAGAAGACGGGGCAGGGTTCTGCTCTGCTGTCCACAGGGTCGCTAGGAGTCAGAATTGACTTGACAGCACTAACAACAACAAATTCCTGACGAGCTAAGACCCTGACTTGGTTTCACTGTGTATTGTGTATTTTCCCTGTGACTTTGTATTTTGTTGAGGAGGATAAAACTAGAACATATGCTGGGACGTAAGCCAAGTCACAACCAGTTAGCGGTGATTTTTAATTGTTTACATTCATGGCCTGGGTCTCTGTTTTGTGTGAGCACAGGAAAGGTGCCCGCACCACCCTCCCAGAGCAGCGTTCTCCCATCTATTGGAAGTAACCTTGTACTGACTTGGGCTGCAGGTCTCTGAGTTTTACCCAAGTGGTGTCCTATTGAGTGCTTGACAGAACTCAGGTGGGTGAATACACGGGCTTCCGTGTGGACTAGTATCACGTCAACATTTCATGGGAAGCAGGAGGTGAGCTCGGGTTCTGGAGTCAGACAGAACTGGTTTAGGGGTTCAGCTCTTCTGCTAGCTGCCTGTGTGACCTTGGGCAGGGTGCTGACTGTCAGTTTTTCTCAGTTTTGTCTTTGTTGTAAGCTTCTTGGGTTAAATCAAAAAGATAAATTATATTAGATACTTGGTGCATAGTAGATGCTCAGGAAATGCTCGGCCATCCTACCCTCACCCAACTCTCCCTTGTACACATTTTTTTCCTTACCACTTCACAGTGGTTTCTACAATGTGGTTTGTAGAAAGAACACAGACCCTGATGGGCAGGACTGTGTGATATTGCCAGCTTTGTGTAGACAAGATTTTCTGCCAGTGTTCACCTGTCCATTGGTCCAGCTGGCCAACAGGACTGAGTACCTACTAAGGGACAGACTTAGGAACCAGGAGCTGGAATATAGCTGTACACTCTCACTGAACACAGCTCTCAAGAAGCAGGAAAAAATATGTCTTGAAAAAATAAGAGGCAGCAGTTTACAGTCTAATCTCTGTGTTTTGTTTTCCACACTGGGCATGCAAGTACCTCCAAGGCCAATTTCCTCCTGGAGAAAGGTCACTGTGAGACAGTGTCACTCTCTGACTAGGGTTACCGTGGGCCCCTGTGGCTGGCTGCTCCATCCTGCTGGCTGGAGAAGGCTTCAGTGCTGGAGTTGAGGTGGAATGGCACTCACTCAGCATTAGTGTGTAGGTGGAGAATGGAGTCCGGCCACTGAGGGGTTGGGCATGTAGTGTACAACCGGCTGGGAGGACTTTTTCTTGAGGCAGAAGATTCCTGGGGATTAGGTTATCCTACATCAGGGTCCTTTGGGAATGAAAGAATGACAGAGCCTTGGGTGATGTCCCATATCTTCCCTCATTCTTGCCAAAGGGACCCTGGGGATTCTATTCAACTTCTAGATCTCCAACTCTGAAGTGCTTAGGCTAAGGCCAGCTATGACCTAGTGGGCCCATCTTCCCAGCTATAGAGGTTTGCCTCTCTGTCTACGGCTGGTTTTTGCCCTCAAGGTCTTGGAGATCAGCCTTTAAGAAGCCGGACTTGACTCTGACAAATCAGTGTGACTGAGGATCGGATAAAGCTCTGAGGACATGAAGTATCTTCTCTTCTGGAGAAGCATGCTCACTTGGGCCTTTCTCAAGGCTCTTGGTCCTGGAGGAACCAGGCCAGGCCCAGTGGAGGAGGCACTGGCCTGAGAAGCCAGGTTATCTGTTTTCTCACCTCAACTGTGCTAGAACTCCATGTGACCTGAACAAGTCACTTCACCTCTAGATCTTAACCTCATGTAGCCTCTGTTTGTCCCTCAAATAATCGGGTTGTAGTAGAGGATGACAAAGGAACTCTGAAACTATAACATTCTATATTTGCAACCCACAAGTATATCCCCATTTGTGTTATTGTTTGTATCTTTGTTTTAAATGCTCCCTGCCCCCACTAGATTATAAAGCTCCTTGAAGGCAGGAACCCTGCCATATACATCTTGGTACCTCCTAAAATATCTAGCAGAATACTTTTCATGTAGTAGATGCTTTAAAGATCTGTTAGATTTATTGATTATATACTGGTGTACATTGGAAGAACTCTATACTGAGCCTGTCGATGATGACTTTTGTGTTGTGAATATTCCAGAGCTGAGAACCACCAGTGACCATGCTGAGTGTGGATAATTGACAGGCTGGAAAACCAATCAACACGGTCAGCAGATTGGCAGCTGATGCATGGTATTATATGTGTCTGCTTTTTTCCCCATAAGCATCTTTGCTGTAGACGTCTTTGCCACAGACATTTTCACTGCATAACTAATTGGCCGTAAGACAGTTTTGCTGTAATAATGCAAATCACAAAAAATAAAAGAGGGACATTAAAAAGGGCAGTAATGAAACATGAAAAATGAATGACATAATTAGAAAGACTTTTTTTGAAATACAAAATATTTGAATACATTTAAAATGTGTGTAGATTCACGGCAATACTGTGCAAATAATTGATTTTATTTTGTGGGATGTATCTAAGCACTCGTCTTCAAAGTCTTTCATTCATAGTATTACATTTTTTTTTGTTTTGCTTGTTGATTCATCTCCTTGTTCAGCATCCATCACACTTCTTTTTCACTAAAATTTCTTCCTTCGTTGAGAGGTGTCAGTTTCCAAATGCTAGGATGCATATTGGTAACTGAGCTTTGAATTGCGTTGTGAAAAGCCTTCTACACTGTTGTTTGTTCTTGGCGTGTTGTCACATGTTCATTGATAGATGTTCCAAAGTTCTATGGGAAATGTGGAGCTAAGGTTTATATAAGATAAAAATGGGAGAACTGTGTCAATGGAGAAATGAAACCAAAGTGTCAAGCGGTTGAAACCAAACTGTCAACCAGTTATGTTACCTTCCATAGCAAAATCGCCTTATGACCAATTAGACATGTGGCAAAAATGTTTGCAGCGAAAATGCTCGCGGCAAAGATGCTTATGGAAGAAGTATCTAGAACCCGCATTACACTGTGCCATGAAAGCAGATTTCTTCTCCACCTGCAGGTCTTTTCAAATACAATAAAGGAAAAGTTGGACCTTAAGACAAAAGATTTACTCATCTTCCTTCACTCTTAGGATTTGAGACTTGCCTGAGTTCTCAGGCTATTTTCCAATTTCTGTCTTGGTATTACGTGTGGCAGAAGGGCTTCCGGGTTGTATCACAACTAGTCACTACTGAAGCAAGGCATTTCTGACCTTGGAAACATGCAAGTCAGGTTATCTGTTAGGTCACTGGAGTTTGAACTTCCATGAAGACATGAGATGTTTTAATTTGTTGGTGTCCGTGCATGTGTGTGTGCGTGTTTATAGCCAGTTTGCATGTGCCCATGTCCTGCACAAATTTATACAATTGTGTGTGACTTCATACTACAGATGCTTTGTAAATTACGAAATTATTTACACAATGAACTTAAGCTGTCATGTTTGTAAATGTGGTAACAACTTCAGGCTTCTATCTCTTACTGAATGCAAGTTCTTAGGGTTGTAGGGTGTAGATCTTTTCCCTCAGCTGGTCTCTCAGCTCCAGGGTAACAGATTCAGTGAAATCAAGAATTTAAGTGGCATAACAAACAATCAACATGTTTTACTTTACCATAGACATGGGAGTATAGGAACCATTGTTCATTAGTTTGCAGCTACAGAAGAGTCAGTCTGCATTGAGAACCTCAACTATAATATTTTTCCATAGGTATTGATAATGAGGGTGGTTGGGGTGTGTGAGCTGAGTTGTCAATCAAAAGAGAGATCTCTCTGGTGTTTTGAGGTGGGGTTTAAGGTGGGGGGGCCCTGTTTGGGTCTTAAAAAGGACTGGAAGTTGGGGATTATGTTTCTTATTAGGAGTCTCTTTAAATTTGTGCTGTGATCTCTTGGCCATTGGTACTGTGATTGATTGTCTCTGTCTTCTATAGCTTGGAATTGGGCTTGGATTCTTGGTCCCTCCTGTTTTGGTACCCAACACTGACGACCAGGAGAAGCTTGCCTACCACATGAGCATCATGTTCTACATAATAGGAGGTGTAGCCACTCTGCTTTTCATCCTTGTCATCATTGGTAAGGTCATTAGTAGACTGATGGGAGGCTGGGAGGCAAGGAGGTTCTGCTGACTTGGGTGGGGACCTTGTGGACACGGCCCTAGAATACCATGGACACTTATAGAAACTGGAGGCCAGGCTTCTGATGGTCTTCAAATGTTTTAGCCTGAGCAGTTGCCACCAAAACAGGTCAGTAAAGGTTTAATTGTAATTAACCAGTTCCCCAATACGACCTCACCAGAATTCATGTGCAGACTGCTGATTCCTTGATGAAAGCCCAGTGAGCACTTATAGTATCATAGGCACCACTGAGCATGCCTGATCTCACCTAATCCTTGACAACTCTATGAGTGAAGGTACCGTTTTCACTCCCATTTAACAAAGAGGAAAAGGAGACTTAAGGCAAGTTACTAAATTATTCAAGATTAGAGAGCTAGTAAGTGGCAGAGATTGGATTCAAGCCTAAGCTTGTCTAACTCCATACTCTAAATTTCTGGAACAAAACAAAGCAGAATTGAACCACAAACACTAATGCTGTCATAGATTCACCTGAGAATACCTGGGGCCACGTTTTTTAAATGCTATTTATTTAAATTATAAGAGTAATATATGCTCATTATGGAAAAAAGCTAGAAAATACAAAAAAGAATAAAGAAAAGAATGATCATTAATTTAGCCTTGTACCAGTTAATCCCAACCACCAACCTCAGATAACTACTATTAATTTTATGTGCATGTACATTTAATCATTGAGGTATCTGGTTGATTTTATATCTTCCTTTATCATCTGAGTGATATGACATGGCTGTGATAAATTCGGAAACAGCATAGTAGAGGTTTTCATTTTCAGTTAGTCACCCGTCTTTAAAGGTTAACCAGCTTCCTCCTAACATCTGAAAGTTCCACCTTGCGTGGTAAAGGTTTCCTTCCTTCCTGCTGGCCTCACCTCCAGAGTCAGTTTTATAATCTGTACCTCATTCAACTGCTCTGACTGTGTCCTTCCTCCCCGGCATCCAAGCTGAGGCAGGGCCGCCTGATGGCTTCAGAAGCTGGCAGGATATCTTGGACAGAGGACTTGGTGTTCCTGGAAGGCTGAGAAGCTGTGGAGCCGTGGATGAGAGCAAGAAAGAACAGTCCGGCCAGGGACCCTCTTAATCAGCAGACTTGAAGTTTCAAGTTGTAATGTTCCCACCTCCAAATTCTTATGTTTGTAGCAGATGAGGGCTTGGTTCTTTGCTGTTGAAATCCTGGAGATAGGACGTTCCTACATTTTGGCATGTTATTTGCAAGCACAGATAGTAGCTCATTGAGTAAAGAACTGAGAAATCTTATCTGGATTCTGGTTTGTGGTTGCCAAGTCCTTGAGCAAACACCTGCTGTTGCAGAGATAAATAACCTCTTGCATTGCTCTTTCCCCCTGAAGGGGAGGTGGACAGGGAAGATAATGGACAAGAGGTTCCCAGTGGCGGGAAGTCATCCAGGACTATTTCCGGAGAAGGAAGAAGCCGGGCTCTGAAGTCAGGGCTGGAGGGTTTTCTGGGTGGGGGCCCCTTTGATCTTCAAGAGAGTAAACCTCATTTCCAGAGCTTCTTCTAACTGGAGATAGCCTATTGACCTTTCAGGAGTGTTCTCATGGCGTGTGGGGAGGCCACGTGGTGCTTGCTTGGACCCAGTTAGAGGACCAGTTTAGACAAACACCTGGCTAAAGTGATCTGCCCCCCAGAGAACTGAATAGCAATCTGTGCAGTCAAATTGACTGTACTGGTTGTATTGAAAAAAGAATATACAATGAATGGTTTTCCATTGTCTGTCCCCAGTCCTTCATATCAGAGTGGCTACTCCTGCAGGATCCTCTTGTCTCTTCGTGAGGCAGATGTCTGCTTCAGACTTTGAGAAACTAGGAATGAACTTGAGGTTTTTCCAATAGAAGAAGATCCTTTCACTTATTCAGGGAATGTTTCTTGGCTGCTGTGTGCCAGGCTCTGTGCTAATCATGGGCAACACAGTCCCTTCCCCCTCGGGAGGAGCTCTGGGGCTGAGCCATTAACTGGGCTCACTAATACCAAAGCCTCAGCCCCCACTTCCTTTCTATCCATACGTTACTATTGCATGTTTTCAGTGCTCTGTGGTGTGTTATTTTCTGGGTATTATGGGACTCCTTGATCCTTGAACGTTGCCTGGGAGGCCCAGTGATTGCAGCCATCCAGAAGCCATTAAGAAAAAGTAATCAAAGGAACACTCACTCATCCACAGACAATGAGAAGCAGCTTCAAGAGAGGAGGCTGTAAAGGAGTTAATTGAAGAATTAATACTTCCTTTTGGAGCCTTAGCTCCTCCTCAGATGAGGGAGCCAGCTCTTGTCCGTGTGTCCCCTCTGCAGGGGTGGGACCACAGGGATTGTCAGTCACTTCTCTGTTTCTTTCCTTTCAGTATTCAAGGAGAAGCCTAAACATCCCCCCAGCAGGGCCCAATCCCTGCGCTATGCCATGGCGTCCCCTGATGCTTCATCCTCCATCGTCCGGCTCTTCAAAAACTTCAACTTTATGCTGCTTGTCTTCACTTATGGTAAGGTGCAGTGTGCCCAGGAGAGTGCTTGAACGAGGACTGTGAGACAAGAGGCCTGATGTGTCTGTGGGTCTTACTCTTTCCAAATCCAAATTGTGTATGTAAAGTCATTGTTTAGGGTCAACCAGAAGAGCCAGCTGTGCCTCAGGGCCTTTGCATGTTCTGTAAAGTTGACCTAGAAAATCATTCCTTCCCATGTCAGGTTGTCTGAAAATGCCCTCTGATCCTTCAAGTCTCATCTCAGTGTCACTGCTGTAAGGCAGTATTAGGTGACTTTTCATCTTTTATTGTCCTGTTTCTGGTACGTCTTAACATTTATCATGTTTTTTTTGATTAGTTTTTTTTTGGTGAGGAAGATTGGCCCTGAGTTAACATCCATTGCCAATCCTCCTATTTCTGCTGAGAGAGATTGGCCCTAAGCTAACACCTATGCCCATCTTCCTCTACTTTATATGTGAGATGCCTGCCACAGCATGGCTTGATACGCGTTGCATAGGTCTGTGCCCGGGATCCAAGCCTGCACACCCCAGGCCGCCAAAGCAGAGCTTGCGAACTTAACCACTATGCCATGGGGCCGGCCTCAACACTCATCATTTTTAAAAAACTGTTTCCAGATCTGTCTTCCAACTAGAATGAACTCCCCAAGAGTGGGGATTCATGTCTTTTCCTCTTTATAGTTCCTCAGCACTGGCCAGCCTGGTGTGGATACTCCAACAGGTATTGAATGAGTGAAGGAATGAATGAATGAATGAATGAATGCATACATAAGTCTTGCCACACGAACCACTCCTCACCAATCCTCCTTCATCTGGTAACACTGACTCCGTTTTTACCTGAATGCAAAACCACATTCCTCTTTCCTTTCATTTTCTTGGCTTTTGGTAAGATAAATTTGAATCCTAAACAAACAGCAGCAACAACAACAAATCCTGGGGAGGGAGGAGAATCTCATTTCCAGAGTTGACGTGGTATTTAAAATGTCCAGTTTTCAACACAAAGTTATGAGACATGCAAAGAAACAGGAAAGCATGGCCCATACACACTTAATAGAAACTGTCCCTGAGGAAGCCCAGACAGTGGACATAATAGACAAAGACTGTAAATCAACTATTGTAAATGTGTTCAAAGAACTAAAGGAAACCATGTCTGAAGAATGAAAGAAAAGTAGAAAATGATGTCTCATGAAATGGAGACTATCAATAAAGATGGAAATAAAAAAGAACCAAATAGAAATTCTGGAATTGAAAATACAATAACTGAAATGAAAAATTCACTAGAAATCTCATCATCAGATTTGAGCTGGTAGAAGAAAGAATCAGTGAACTTGAAGATAGGTCAAATGAAATTATCCTGTGTGAGGAACAGAAAGAAAAAGAATGAAGAAAAATGAGCAGAATCTCAGAGACCTGTGGGACAGCATCAAGCATACAATGTATGCATAATGGGAGTCCCAGAAGGAGAGGAGAGAGAGAGAGGGATGGAAGTAAATCATCATTTAAGTTGAGATAGCCCCAAACTAGAAAAGCAATTCACTTCTGAGTCTCTGGAAGCATTTGACTCTGTTGTGTATAGATAGAATTTATTAAGATTTTTCTCAAAGGCCTAGGATTATCCCAGTGAGAGAGAGTTAAACTAATCTGGATGTCGTACACATTTCAGAAAACCACAAGCCTTATTCCCATGGTAGACAATTGGACTTGGTGACAGGGCTCTTTGCCAACAAGGAAATGGTTCTTAGGCTTTATCACAGATTTGAAAACAATGTTATTGAGCCATTATTATGTGTCAGCCACCATGTTAAATGCTTTACAGGCATTATCTCTCTTAATCTTCAAAACAAACCCATGACTTAGGTCCTTAACTCTATTTCATTTTATACCAGAAGAAACAGGCTCTGATTTAGTTCCTTGCCCGTAGTTGGACAGCTAGCAAGCAGTAGAGCTTGGATATAAACTTCTGTCTGTCTGATGCCAAATCCCATTTTCCTAACCACTGCGCCATTTTGCCTTTCCACGCAGACAGGGGCCTCTTGGAGACAGCCAGGGCTCTTTTATTAGTGCACTTGCCTGAGTGCTCTTGGGTCTACCTAGGGGAGTATGTCCTTCCTCAGAATCAGACCTCCAGACCAGTTGCCGGAGGTTTGCTTTCTTCTAAGGTGCAGGTCTAGAGTTGTAGGGTTTTGGAAGCAGGACCCACCTACACTGACCAGCCATCTTTGGGATTTGGGGATGATGGGGTCTCAGCCTTACTGTGTCTCCCTAAGGTTTACAGGCCATGTAAAGGCAGTGTTTGCTGCTCAGTCCATCTCAGGATCTCTACTTTCTTCTCCCACTGTCTTTGCTCCAAACTAAAAACAACAACAACAAAAAACCCTCTATAAATTGAGCTAGAGGCTTTGAAGCCCCCCCAAGATCCCCCAGCATCCCCACCCTCCCTGTAGTTGCAGGTTGGGCTTTGAAGAGGGAAATGGTTCATACTTTTTATATTGTACCTTTGATGTTCATATTTTCCTCTGAATTATATGCACTTAAGAGCATGTAGCTGGGAATCAAGCAGATGATAGCATTTCACGGGCACCTTTGCTGGCCGTGGTGGACATCTTGGGGTAAGAGCCTTGACTGCTGGACTGGTGAGTTTAGAGTTGGCACATAAGGAATGGGAGGTCTGAGTTTTGGTGTCAGCTCTGCCAATCCCTGAGTGTACCACCTTCACTCGTCCTGTGCCCATCCTTTGTCTCTCTAATTACCCGCCTCAGAAAATAGTAGTAACATTTGCTTCTCATTGGAGTGCTCTGAAGGGAAATGAACGCTTTTAAAGCAGTTTCGAATAAAGACACGGCATGCATCCACCTTGTTGTTGCATTGGTAAACGTGCTGATTTCCTACATTCTCTCGTTGGTCTGAACTAGATGTCACCGAGTAAGGAGTCACTCTCGTGCAGCTGCTGGGACATCCAGACTGTATTTGTAGTGGTTTCTCCAAGCTGCAGAGTCAGCTGCCCGAACCGAGGTGCAGTGATACAGTGAAGGCTTTGGAGGAATTCCAGGGTCTGCCTGTGGCTGGCTGTTCCCTATAGGGTTCTGAGGGTAGATCTGAGAGAGAAAATAAGGGCCATCTGGCTAAATTTGAATTTCAGATAAACAACAAATTCTTTTTAGTATAAATATGTCCCATGCAACATTGGGCATATTTATACTAAACATTTGTTTATCTGAAATTCAAATTTATCTGGATGTGCTGTTTGTTTTTGTTTTTTCCTAAATCTGGCAGCCCAACATAGAGAGGAGGAGGTGCAGAGGTTGGGTTTGTGCATGATGTTGCTGAAATATCACAGGAATAAGAAACTGCCTCCTCCTCTAGTAAAATACCCTCCCTCCTTCAAGTTTGGCAATGCAGGAAGATGCAGGGCGGGAGCCAGATTCTCCTCAGGTCTACCAGAGTCTGTGTAGGGCAGGGCTGGTGATGTGTATGAGCAGTGGGGTGGGGTGAAGGAAAGAACCTTTCTTTGGCTACCTTCTCCTTGTGTCTCTAGGACTTGCTTTCACATGGCCTCCTCGTATGTCTTTTCATCAATGGTGTAACAACGGCCGAGTTAAAAAGAATCATTGAAAAGGCTCCTCTTCTCTCCTCTTCTAGAGAATGTCCTCAAAGGGAATACTTTTCCATGTTATCCCCCAGCCTTGCCTCTAGCTATGCTTCTGAATAATCTGCCAGTGTTGGCATCTGAAGTCAGAGCCTCAAGTGTGTCCTGGGGATAACTTTCCTGGGGGCACTCAGGCACTTTACCACTGCCCCACCCACATGGGCCTAGGGAGGGGGCTTTGCGCCCCTTCTAAGATCCTGGCTTCAGAATGGGTATAAAAATCCTCCGGATTCCCTGGAGCTTTGCTGAGGTCAGGCTGGCCCTTTGAAACAAGGGTTTACTACAAGTTCAGGAAGGACAGAAGGGAAATGAACACAGAGTAGCCAGAACCCAGGGATAGGATCTGGGATCAGTGTTTCCCGAGCTCCCTGAGGACAGAATGCCCTGGGGTGCTTGGTTGAATGTGTGCATAGGTTTCCCTGCCTCTCTTCTGCAAATTCAAATTCAGAAAGTCTGGGTTGGGGCCTAGGAATCTGCTTTTAACAAGCATTCCAGGTGATTCTGGTGGGCAGCAGGGTTGAGAACTTCTAAAGTAGGTGTGTTATGGGTCATTCTCATGGTCTTGAAGCCCCTTCCCATCCCAGTGGCCTCCATGTTAACCCCAGCTCCTGGGAGCCTGGTTCTGTATTCCAGTGAGTTTAAGAAATGCCCAGGGTTTTTTGTTGTTATTGTTTTTAAAATGCAGATTTCTAGCCCTGTTCCTGGAGAATCGGACTTAGTAGGTCCATGGTGGAGCCTAGGAATCTGCATTTTTAAACTCTAAGGACTTCTAATGCCAGTGGTCTCTGGACCACAGTTTGAAAAAACCTGTCCTGACGAAGGAGAGAAACTCAGAGTGATGGCACGTCCTTTCTGCCTTCCTAAAGTCCATCTCCTCAGTGACTGGGTGACTGAAACTAGGATAACCTGGCCTTTCGGCGAGGGGTCATTTTCTCACAGGAGTACGGCCCTGACCCGGCAGGCTTACCTTGCTGGGGACAGTCATACCCGAGTATAACAGTAACCTGTCTTCCTGTGAGAGGGACTCACACACCGGGCAGAGCACGCATTCATCCCTGCCCTCCAGTGGGGACACCGACCCCTTGATTTGTGCAGTGGAGTGGTTTGTGCTGTTGAACCATGTCTGGTGGCCTGGGATGACTATTGGTAAATTACACTAATCTAGCTGAGCCAGTGGGTCTCAAACTTGAGCAAGAGCAGAATTACCTGGAGGGCTTGTCTCAGCGGGGATTGCCAGCCCCACTGCCAGAGTTTCTGCAGCAGAAGGTCTGGGGCGGGGTTAAGAATGTCTGCATCTCTAACAAGCTCCTGGTGTGCTGATGTGGGGCTGATTTCCCTAAACCCTCCAGCCCCGAGAAGCTGCTCCCTCAGTAGTGCAGGTCAGCCAGCTCAGGACTGCTTCCCTCTGCCTTTTTCAGCCTCAGGAAAGTGCTGGTGTAGGGGGTGGGGTTGCTCCAGTTCTCCCTCCCTTCCTGTGGATTCTGCCCTCCTTGTTCATCCCAGCCGGGCCCCCAGCTGAGAGCACTCATCCCCCCGAAGCTGAGCTTGACTTGGAGCCTCCTCTTGCCCCTTGTAGTGTGAGGCCCAGAGGCTGAGGGAGGTGTGAGGAGCAGGAAGAGGGCTGATTCCATCCTTCTCCCTGCCCCCGCTCCTCCCCACCCCCCTTTTCAGGAACACATCTCCTTGTGGGACCTCTTGACTCAGGAATGGAATTTCCAAGTGGCTGGGTGTGTGGTATGAAGGTTAGTCAGGTACGTTTGTTGTGTCAGAAGTTGCTGAGAGCCTCCGAGTCCTCATGACCATCAGCTTGTAGCGACATTTGGTGACACTTCTGGGTTTGCCAACCCACTGTGGCCCTGTGCCAGTCAGGAGGCGGCTTTGAGCCCAACCTTGTTGCATCCCTGAGGCGACCTGCCAGAAGAGGCTGAGACGCGAAATTGTCATCCCCTGAGCTGGGGAAATCCAGAGAATCAGTTTTGTGAGGATGTAAAGTAGAGTGATTAAGATCGAGGACTCTGGAGCCATGGGGTCTGGGGTTCAAATCCAGCCCTGCCTCTTACTACCTGTGGGATTGTGGGAATGGCAAACAAAACTTCCTCTCCCATTTTTCTGAGAATCTGGCCTTCACTGAACTTTGTATCTCGTTCCTCTGGAAACCTGATAAGGGGGTAAGTCAACTGCATTTCGGCAACGTTGCTTATGATAAAAATGACCTCTTGGGATAAGATGACTGCAGCTGGACTGGGAGGCCTTTTCCTATCTGGTAGGAAGCCATTCTTGGTGCTTCTCTGAGTACGGTGACTCTTTCCATTGGCCTGTCCTTTATGGGGACCCTGGAAGCTATGGCTATGGGGTCGTTACAAGCAATAGTAGCTCCTGTGAGGTGTTAAACCAGGGTTGCCATGTCTCCCTTTCCCTCCACCTGAGCCATCACGTTGAGGGCCAAAGAGAACAGCTTCTGGATGGCTCCATGGACTGGGGTTCTATGGACTGGTTCCATTGAAGAGCAACTCCTGGGGCTGCCCTGCCCGCGAGCTGTCTCATACCCTTCTAATGTGAAGGGTGCCAGTGGTAGTTGTGAGCCTCAAAATGAGTTAAAGTTAAAAAGACCCCTGCTGGGCATTACTTAGTGGCCTGTGTATTTGTTTTTAGACCCTGTGTGCATTTTTCTCATCTACAAAGTGGGGACGATAATATTACCTACCGTCTAGGGTGGTTGTGAGGATTTAAGGTGCTTAGAACAGTGTCTAGTACATAAGTCTGTGCAGCTGATGCCATCGTCGTCATCATCATCATCATCATCGTCATCATCATCATCATCATCATCGTTACTGTTATTATGAAGGGAGGGCAGGAGGCACTGTCTCCTTTGGGTCAGTTCCAGTCTAATCTTAGTTACTAGCTCACTGTATGGCTTTAGACAAATGGCCTCATTCTCTAAGGACACAGATTCTTACAGTATATTCTAGGTGCTCCATTTGTTACTGAGCCCTAAGGGACCGGTGACCCTCTGGTGAGTCCTTTTGCCCCGATCTGCTCGCGCCGGTAGGAGTCCAGGTTAGGAATAGCAGAGCGGAAACATTCTTCATTGATCAGTGAATGGAGGAGGCAGAGTTCGTGCTCTCAAACATCTTCTTGAAGGGAACGTGAGCTGGGTTCTTAATGGGATATGAAGGGAGAGGGGTCTCTGCATTATCGCTCAGGGCTGGGGCATTTGGGGCATGCCTAGATCTTCCCTTCTTGCACACAGCCCCTGCTACACACGTTTCCTTTTGCGCACGGCACCCCATCGCCATCTTGGACATTTCTGATTTGGACCAGTTCTGCAGTTTCGCCACCTGGCGTTGTTCTGCCTTGGTTGTTATAAGCAAGCACAACTTAAAAACAAAGCAGTGGACTTGGAAAGTTTTAGGGACTTCTCTGGGTGACACATTTATTTGTTGAATGAGTCGATGAATTAGGTGAGTCAACTAAATGCTCTTTAGGGTCCTTTCTGGTTTCAAATGGTGTCCAGTGGTTCTACTGACCCAATAGGTCTAGCCAACACTTAAGAGGAATGTGGATGGTTCTGACCTAGGAGTAATACTTTCTAGAGCCTGTGTTTCCAGGGCAGAGTTAAAGGGATCAGAGGGCAATGGTATGTGGCCAAGAAAAGGTTCAAATGGTTACTTTTGGTTGTTTTGGAGTATTTCTTCGAGAAACACTGCAGAATAGCCTCCTATGCCCTGGATTTTTCTTCTCTGAGGACACCACTCCCTATGGCAACGAGGATGAGGATTTCTAACCTCCCTAACTACGAGGGGAGAACTTAGCTCTGGCCCCAGTGGAAGGCTGACCCTAATGCTGTGTTTCTCCCTCCCTCCTTCAGGTCTGAATGCTGGTGCTTTTTATGCCTTGTCCACTCTGCTGAATCGCATGGTGATCTTGCACTACCCGGTAAGGGAGTTCCCTAAGCATGCTGGACCCAGAGAGAATGCGATTTCTGAGTCTGTCTTGGTGGGAGCTGGGGCAGCAGTTACTTCTTGGTTCTCCCTAGCTCTGGGTAGCATGGTACGGTGGCATGCTTATGGGATTTGAAGGGAGATGGCCCTGGGTTTCAGCCCCAGCTCTGGTGGTACTAACCTGTGTGACAAGCGAGTTAGCCTCTTTGAGCTCTCATTCTCTTTTCTGCAAAAGGAACATAATCATAATGAAAGATTACTTGTAGGATTAGAAAGTAAATAATATCGTGTGTGTATATGTACATTTATATCCATTATATGTATGTAAAGCACAGAGCCTGGTGCCTGGCAACACAGTAGGTAAGCATATATACATATAGAATCACATATGGAATATTTAATTTGTAAAACATGTGCAAGGTTTAATTTTGAATCTTAGTTGCTCAACTGAAAGCATTTTTAAATGTTTCCAGAGTCAGTGAGGGCTGGATACTGGGAGTGGGATTCTGAGTGTCCTGGAGTCAGGAATCCCATGTCTAGCCCTCTTTTGAAAGGACGAGGGGCCCTTGGGAGGTGGTGGGTCACTGTGGCTGAGTGTTCCAGTTCTGGAGTTTGACAGGTCTCAGTTCACATCCTAGCTCTGCACTTAATAAATGCCTCATGACCTTGGGCGGATAGGTTAATCTCACTGTGCCTCAGTTTCTTTATCTGTAAATTGGGGAATGTTGATTCCCAACTTTATGGTGGGGAATTATGAGAATTAAATAAGATGATGACGTAAAGTCCTCGCCATGGTGTCTGGCTCATAATGAGCGCTCAAAAATATGTAACTATTATCTGCGTATTCCTTTGGCACTGATAGCTCAAAGAATCCTAAGTATGGAAGGTTTGGATACACGTATTTCAGTTTCCCCCTCTGTGAAATGGGAATAATGATAAATAAAAGGGTTGCTGTAAGGATTAAATTTCTTAAAAAATCTACCTAAAAGTGGTTCCAAGGACAGAATTCTGTTCTCCCCGGCATCCAGTGTCATGCTCACACTCCAGGGTTATATTACGTTGGGAGGAGCACTGTTCTAGGATTCTCTGCCAACTGGTAGCTTCCTACAGGCCATCTTCCCTGGTACTTTCTGAGAATTGGCTCTAATGGAGCCTGAATTACTTGCCTTTGCCCCTTTGCCTTGTGGTGACTGTGCCCTGCCCGGTGTCTCGTCCCCTCGCTGAGTGACCGTCAGGGCTGTGGTTTCCCAGGGGGAAGAAGTGAATGCTGGAAGAATCGGCCTGACCATCATCATTGCGGGAATGCTCGGGGTTGTGATCACAGGCATCTGGCTGGATAGGATCAAGACCTACAAGTAAGTAACTTCCTGCTGGACTGAGAACTGCGGACCAGTGTTTTGAAATGACACATTCATTAGCAATACGGCTCCAAAGATTTGCGTGCGGCAGCTGGGGGCCTGAGTGGTCACCTAGGCAGTTGAAATTTATCTTCTCCTAGCCTCAGTTTCTCCATTTATAAAATGAGGGAAAGAGTACCCACCCCATTGGGATCTTGGGAAGACTGGAGATGGAGGACATGAAGTACAATATCTTCTCCAGTCCCACCCCCCAAGCATCTGGGGAAGGTGCGCATGAGGGAGAAATGAAAATGAACGTGGAAAAATGTCAGCAGTTGGCAAGTTTGTGGAAGGTCCAAGGACCAGAGGTGAGGAGGTGATTCCACTGCCCTGTTCCCATGACTCCCTCTTGGACCCTGTGGGTTAACAAGGTGCTCTGTGCTTCCTCTGGGCTGCAGTATTGTCTTGCAATTGCTTACACCTCATTGGTGTAATTGGTAAATATTGGGATGTGCTTTGGGCCTGAATGTCCAGTGAGTTTCTAAGAGGCACTAAGATTTTAGCGTATGCCAGGCTAATCCAGGATGCTTGTTCTAAACACAGATTCCTGGGCCCCACCCTCAGGATGCCAATTCAGTAGGAGAATCTGCATTTGTAAAAAGCAACCCAGATGGCTCAATTCTGTAGTGATCCTTGGAGAAAAGGCTCTGGAGAACAGAGGCCCAACTTCCTTCCCTTCTTGTTGTGTCTTTCCAGTGCTCTGCATGCATTGGGTGCTCAATTAATGCTGGCCCACAGCGTAGCTGTGAGGGTTGTCCAGCGCTGGGGCATGGCGGTACTCTGGGCCACACTGTCAAGGCCTCCAAAGTTCCCAGGGTCTGGAGGCGACAGACAGTAGCAGAGCTGTTCTCTCCACACAAACCCGCTTCTGTGAGGCTCTGGTCAGACCAGGTCTCACTCTGGCCGCCCTAGTCCAGGGCCAGTTGAGGCAATCCCTGGGGCTGTGGCCGCCTGGCTGAGCACGACGAGGAGCCTGGCTCGGCTTAATTACTGCTGGTGGAGCTTGGCTGCCATCTCGTCTCTGCCACCTGTCAATTGCTTGCTTCAGCCAGACACAAGAGCAGTGAAGACTGGCCACTCCCAAACCAGTGGACAGCAGTGTCCCTTTTTCCAGGGCTTGCCCTGTGGCAGGAGAAGGGAGGGATTTGACTGTCGGCTGGGCTGGGACGTGGGCAGCCAGATGATTCAGATGAACTAGAAAATAGAAGGAAAGGGCTGGGGAGGACACTTCAGAACCTGTCGTCACCAGTTCCTGGTGTCACTTGATGTCTCAGTCCTGCAGTCAACAGGAGACATTCTTCTGTCGGCACTGCTACGCAGGCAGAGAAAGGAGGAGAGGGCTCTGTGATCTGGACATTTCGGCAGTAGTTCCCCCCTCCCTAAGGCTCCCAGATTTGTTCCCTTTGGTTTGGAGGCTGGAAATTGGGTGGTCAGGTTGCTTGATCTCAGGCTAGGACTACTGACGGTTTTTCTAGATGGGTCAGTGGTTTGAGATGAAGCTGTGCTTAAATAAATATGGCAAAGATGAGCTTGTGGGTCAGCGAGAGAGCCTGGTGTCCATGAAGCTGCATTCTGCGGGGGGGGGGGGGGATTTGGATGGGGAGCAGGATGGGAGATGGGGAAGCTCATGTACCCTCAGCAGCTGCTCTGAGCACCAGGTGGGAGGGGCTTTCTTCAGAGGCTCTGACCTTAAGCTTTTCCAAAGATGCAACCACACGGTATATTAGTATTCCTGTATGCAGTGGTAGAAAAAGTGCTGGATTCAAATCCCAGCTCTGGGTTCAAATCCCAGCTCTGCATTTACTCAGTGGGTGACTTTGGACAAATAACTGGTCTGAGCCTCAGTTTCCTCATTCGTAAAATTAGGGGTAGCCATGCATTTCTTGCAGGGCTTTTGTGAGGGTTGAGGGAAATCATAAATGTCTGTTAAGTGCTTGACAGAATGCCTGGCACCCAGTAAGTGCAGTATCAGTTGGACATAACCATAGTCTACGTCTCCTGGCGCCCCCACCGTGTTTCTGACTTCGGGGAGAGGACTGAAGCCTGTAAGCTTTCATCCTCTGAGTCCTGATGTTCGGGCAGGAGGGCGGAGGGCTGTGTGGAGCCCGGGCCCTGCAGTGAGTAGGGAAGGGAGAGGAATGCAGGTCCAGCTGCAGGAGTCGGGGTTGCAGCAGAGTCCTGCCTGGGCCGCACGGGAGGAGACGTGTGTGGAGGGGACTAGCAGGGTGAGCCCGAAACAGAAACCAGCACGTTGCTGATGGTCCTTCTGAGGGGACAGACAAAGGGAAGTGTCACAGGGAGAGGGCAGAGGGTTCTCACTCTGGCTTTGGAGTCAAGCACTTAGTTCAGGGCTGGAGAATGTTCTCTTAGTTCTGCTGTCTGGAGCAGAGTGGCTCAAATTCTGCAGGAAAAGCTGTGCTGGACCTGTGCACGTGGCGACAGGAAGAACTTAGAGACCACAGAGAGAACCGAAAAGGCACACTGCCCAGCATTGTCGTGGGGCTTGGGGCAAAGCAGACAAGCAGAATTGGATGGCCTCTGGGGGAGTTCTGCACGCCACTGCCGCCTGACCAGAGCTGATGTTGTCCTGTTTGGTTTTTTGGTGCGGGATGAGGAAAGGAAAGGGCTGGACCTTATTGCTTGTGGGTAGGACATGACAAGTCAAGCTGCAGCTCGATGTTTTTGAGAGGCTTGTGCAGGAGGAGAATGCACGTGCAGCAAGACAGCTTCGTACTTCCTGGTCTTACCCTTTGTAGCAGTGACCACGATGTAATTCAGTAATTATTTGTGTGATCGTTGGTTCAGTGTCCATCAACCTCATGGACAGAAAGTTCCGTGAGAGCAGATGTCCCAGCACACAGCAGAGGGCTTGACACACAGCAGGTGCCCCACAGATACTTGTAGAATGATTGAATGAATGGATGGATGGATGGATGGATGATCCTGTTAAAGTCGGAATTGTGTGACTCAACTTTTCTGCCTCTGCTTGTAGGGAGACAACCCTCGTGGTCTATATCATGACCCTGGTGGGCATGGTGCTGTACACATTCACCTTGAACCTGGGACACCTGTGGGTAGTGTTCATCACCGCTGGCACAATGGGGTAAGTTTCACCTCTAACCCGTTTAACTGGGGAGCACCATCTCATGGCTTCTAGAGCTGCTGCCATCCTAGGAAGCTATATTGATCCCTCTGCTGCCTTCTCACTGAGCTCTGGAGATGCATGTGGACATGGTGCCCAGAGGTCTTGTTTTTTTTTTAAGATTTTATTTATTTATTTTTTCCCTCCAAAGCCCCAGTAGATAGTTGTATGTCATAGCTGCACATCCTTCCAGTTGCTGTATGTGGGACGTGGCCTCAGCATGGCCGGAGAAGCGGTGCGTCCGTGCACGCCCTGGGATCCGAACCCAGGCTGCCAGTAGCGGAGCGCACGCACTTAACCACTAAGCCACAGGGCCGGCCCCCAGAGGTCTTGTTTCCTTGCAGCACTTCAAAAGGCCACCTGGGGCCCCCAGGCCCATCCATGCTGTTGGGATGTAGGATCTCCTTCACACACCTCTGGGAGGCTAGGAAATGTTTTTTAGCTCTGCCTGGGACAACACGGGGTCACAGAAAGTACACAGGGCCGAGAGTCAGAAAGTCTGGGTCCTGGTCTCAGCTCTGTTGCTATCTATTAGACCACAGGCCCATCACTTAATGGCTCTGCGAGTCAGTTTCCTCATCTGTAAATCAAGATGAGTGGCCTGCCTCGTCAAGTTGTTAGAAGGATTGAGAGAGAGAACAGATGTGAAAGCAGCAAGAAGTGTGGTGTAGATATAAAAAATGAGAATTGTAATTTTCTAGACCTGTTGTTTGAGAAAGCATAGGAAACAGTACCCTTCCCATGGGAATCTCTGCTCAGCCACACCTCCCAATTATTTTCCTGTAGGCACTACATGAGTGTGTGTGTGTGAGAGAGAGAGATTCAGAGACAGAGACAGACAGACACACTCAGTCCTTCTCAGCTGGCGACTCTCTGGAGGGAGGGAAATAAGGAGGACTCAGAGCTCTTCCTTTCAGGTCCCCGAGAGCCATGGAGATGCTGTTCAATATCCGGGAACTTTCCCTCCCAGCACAGGGCCTGTGTACCCAGGACACAGAATTTCTTTCTTTCTTTTTTTTTTTTTTAAATAATTTTATTTATTTTTCCCCCAAAGCCCCAGTAGATAGTTGTATGTCATAGCTGC